AGCTTCCTGAGTTTTTAAATACAAAATAATTTTTTCAACAATAAATACATTACTTGTGTGCTTTTTCACATTTCAGAGAAACAACTTACAGCCGATACAAAATACCAAATAAGGTTACAGTCATACTAACACTGAAGTGGGTCATCCTTTATATTTTAATGTCCAACACATTATGCCCTTAAGTTTTACAGCCTTTTACACACTCAAAATGCAATATTTTTAAAAATGTAATCAGATTTTAGTAATCTGATATGTAATTGGAGAAATCATATATTATTGTTTTTGTTCAAGCTTCTTATTGGAATGAAAGAAATAGTTGCATTTATCTAAAACTGTGACACCAAAGAAGTTTAACATGATAAAGTAATCCAACGTGAAATCCTACATTTAGGCAGCATTAGCTGCAACACAAACAGGTAAATAAAGGAAATGGGATCACTTGTTGCATACCTCCACAAACAAAAAATGTTCAGATGTAGTTTTACACAACCACAGTGATAAATACATTTACCACATTCTCTAAAATACTAAGCTAACAAAACAAATATCCATCCATCCATCCATTATCTTCCGCTAATTCCGAAGTTGGGTCATGGGGGCAGCAGCTTGAGCAGGGAGGCCCAGACATCTCTTTCCACAGCCACCTCTTCCAGCTCTTCTGGGAGGACTCCAAGGCATTCCCAGGCCAACCGAGAGGCATAGTCTTTCCAGCGTGTCCTGGGTCTTCCCTGGGTATCCTCCCAGTTGGACATGCCCGAAGCACCCCTCTAGGGAGGCGCCCAAGGGGCATCTTTACCAGATGCCCTAACCACCTCAACTGGTTCCTCTCGACGTGGAGGAGTAGCGGTTCTACTTGGAGTCTCTCCCGAATAACTGAACGTCTCACCCTATCTCTAAGGGAGACTCCAGCTACCCTGCGGAGAAAACTCATTTCAACCACCTGTATCCGACATCTCATTCTTTCGGTCACTACCCAGAGCTCATGACCATAGGTGAGGGTAGGAACATAGACCGACCGGTAAACAGAGAGCTTTGCCTTACAGCTCAGCTCTCTCTTCACCACAACGGATTGGTACAGAGTCCGCAATACAGCAGATGCTGCACCAATCCATCTGTCAAGGTCACACTCCATTCTTCCTCACTCATGAACAAAACTCCAAGATACTTGAACTCCACTTGAGGCAGAACCTCACCATAGACCTCAAGAGAGCAATCCACCCTTTTCCAGTTGAGGACCATGGTCTCAGATTTGGAGGTGCTGATTCTCATCCCAGCCGCTTCACACTCGGCTGCGAACCGCTCCAGTGAGAGCTGGAGATCACGGCACGATGACGCCAACAGGACCACATCATTTGCAAAGAACAGAGATGGAATCCTCTGCTCTAACAAAACAAATAGCTTATTTTATATTTCTGAGTACAAAACTAGGGATGTACACCCTGCAACTTTGCAAGTTCTCCCACTTAGAAATCATGGAGGGGTCTGAAATTTTCATCTTAGGTGCATGTCCACTGTGAGAGACATAATCTAAAAGAAAGAATCTAGAAATCACAATGTATGATTTTTAAAATAATTTATTTGTGTGTTACTGCTGCAAATAAGTATTTGAACACCTGTGAAAATCAATGTTAATATTTAGTACAGTAGCCTTTGTTTGCAATGACAGAGGTCAAATGTTTCCTGTAGTTTTTCACCAGGTGTGCACACACTGCAGCAGAGATTTTGGCCTATTCCTCCACACAGATCTTCTCTAGATCAGCCAGGTTTCTGGGCTGTCGCTGAGAAACATGGAGTTTGAGCTCCCTCCAAAGATTTTCTATAGGGTTTAGGTCTGGAGACAGGCTAGGCCACTCCAGAACCTTGATATGCTTCTTACGGAGCCACTCCTTTGTTATCCTGGCTGTGTGCTTCGGGTCATTGTCATGTTGGAAGACCCAGCCACAACCCATATTCAATGCTCTAACTGAGGGAAGGAGGTTGTTCCCCAAAATCTCACAATACATGGCCCCGGTGAGGAATCAGCCCAGAACTACACGGGAGGAGCTGGTCAATGACCTGAAGCGAGTTGGCACCACTGTTTCCAAGGTTACTGTGGGTATTACACTAAGACGTCATAGTTTAAAATCATGCACGGCATGGAAGGTTCCCCTGCTTAAATCAGCACACGTCCAGGCCTGTCTTAAGTTTGCCCATGACCATTTGGATGATCCAGAGGAGTCATGGGAGAAAGTTATGTGGTCAGGTGAGACCAAAATATAACTTTTTGGTCTTAATTCCACTCGCCGTGTTTGGAGGACGAAGAATGACGAGTACCATCCCAAAAACACCATCCCTACTGTGAAGCATGGGGATGGTAGCATCATGCTTTGGGGGTATTTTTCTGCACATGGGACAGGACGACTGCACTGTATTAAGGAGAGGATGACCTTTCTTAGGATCAATACGCCACGAGGTGAGATCTTGCATGGAGCCCCAGTCTGAGGGAGATTGACAGTCATGTTTAGCTTCTTCTATTTTCTAAGAATTGCTGCAACAGTTGATCTTTTTTTCACCAAGCTGCTTGGCAATTGCCCCGGAGCCCTTTCCAGCCTTGTGGAGGTCTACAATTTTGTCTCTGGTGTCTTTGGACAGCTCTTTGGTCTTAGCCATGTTAGTATTTGGAGTCTTACTGATTGTGTGACGTGGACAGGTGTCTTTATGCAGCTAACGACCTCAAACAGGTGCTTCTAATTTAGAATAATAAGTGGAGTGGAGGTGGACTTTTTAGAGGCGGACTAACATATCTTTGAGGGCCAGAATTGTTGCTGATTGGCGGGTGTTCAAATACTTATTTGCAGCAGTAACATACAAATAAATTATTAAAAAAATATACATTGTGATTTCTGAATAAGAAAATGTATGCCTCTCACAGTGGACATGCACCTAAGATGAAAATTTCAGACCCCTCTATAATTTCTAAGTGGGAGAACTTGCAAAGTCGCAACGATGCCTGCAGGGCCAACACAACGTTATGACATCACGCATGCCGTTGAGTTTAGATTTGTGAAAATTTACAAATTTGCACTGTTCGAGTGTTGTCATTGTGTTAGAGAGAGTAAATGTCATAAAAAAATTTGACATTAAACATAATCCAAATTGAAGCGTTACATCATTTTCAGACCTTTTTTTGGAGTCTGCATTTAGGAGCAGGCCAAACTAACAAAGACCATGCAGAATAATGTACAAACCGGATTCCAAAAAAGTTGGGACACTAAACAAATTGTGAATAAAAACTGAATGCAATGATGTGGAGGTGCCAACATCTAATATTTTATTCAGAATAGAACACAAATCACAGATCAAAAGTTTAAACTGAGAGAATTTATCATTTTAAGGGAAAAATCTGTTGTTTCCAAATTTCATGGCGTCAACAAATCCCAAAAAAGTTGGGACAAGTCCATTTTTACCACTGTGTGGCATCCCCCCTTCTTCTTACAACATTCAACAGACGTCTGGGGACAGAGGAGACCAGTTTCTCAAGTTTAGAAATAGGAATGCTCTCCCATTCATGTCTAATACAGGCCTCAATCATCTTGGGCCTTCTTTGTCGCACCTTCCTCTTTATGATGCGCCAAATGTTCTCTATAGGTGAAAGATCTGGACTGCAGGCTGGCCATTTCAGTACCCGGATCCTTCTCCTACGTAGCCATGATGTTGTGATTTCTGCAGAATGTGGTCTGGCATTATCGTGTTGAAAAATGCAGGGTCTTCCCTGAAAGAGATGACGTCTAGATGGGAGCATATGTTGTTCTAGAACCTGAACATAGTTCTCTGCATTAATGGTGCCTTTCCAGACATGCAAGCTGCCCATGCCACAAGCGCTCATGCAACCCCATACCATCAGTGATGCAGGCTTCTGAACAGAGCATTGATAACAACTTGGGCTATCCTTGTCCTCTCTGGTCCGGATGACATGGCAACCCAGTGTTCCATAAAGAACTTCAAATCATGACTCATCTGACCACAGAACAGTCTTCCATTTTGCCACACTCCATTTTAAATGACCCCTGGCCCAGTGCAAACGTCTGAGCTTGTGGAGCTTGCTTAGAAATGGCTTCCTCTTTGCACTGTAGAGTTTCAGCTGGCAACGGCGGATGGCACGGTGGATTGTGTTCACTGACAATGCTTTCTGGAAGTATTCTTGAGCCCATTCTGTTATTTCCTTGACAGTGGCATTCCTGTTTGAGGTGCAGTGACGTTTAAGGGCCCGGAGATCACGAGCATCCAGTAAAGTTTTACGGCCTTGATCCTTACGCACAGTGATTGCTCCAGATTCTCTGAATCTTTTGATGATGTTATGCACGGTTGATGATGATAACTTAAAAGTATTTTCTATTTTACGCTGGGTAACACCATTCTGGTATTGCTGCACTATCTTTCTGCGCAACAATGGTGGAATTGGTGATCCTCTTACCATCTTGGCTTCTGAGAGACACTGACACTCTGAGAAGCTCTTTTTATACCCAATCATGTTGTCAACTGACCTAATTAGTGTTAATTGGTCTTCCAGCTGTTCGTTATATGCTCAAATTCCATTTTCCAGCCACTTATTGCTACTCGTCCCAACTTTTTTGGGATTTGTTGACACTGAAATTTTGAATCAACATATTTTTCCTTTAAATTGTTACATTTACTCAGAATAAACTTTTGATCTGTCATCTATATTATATTACGAATAAAATATTGACATTTGCCATCTCCACATCATTGCATTCAGTTTTTATTCATAATTTGTTTAGTGTCCCAACTTTTTTGGAAGCTGGTTTGTAGTATTTTAATACAACAGCAGAGAAAGCTATGTAGTTTCTGTAAGTAGGTCTAGAAAAAAAATTGGTATTGGTATCGGTTATCGGCCAAACAAGTTTAAACATGACAGCATATCGAATATCGGCCAAAAATCCAATATCGTGCATCCCTACATAAAACAAGCAGCTAGCGAAAAACCATCTGGCTTCCATAAGTTGTTTTTTCTGTGTGGGTTTATTCACCTATCAGATTTCTAAATTCATAGATAATCACTGGACACGGACAGTAATTGTTATCCAAATGATAAGCCTTTTTGGCTTCATATAGTGCAGTTCTTCTCCTGTGTGCATGAATTGCTGCTGAAATCTTCATTGTTGGTCCGTTGTTCTTCCTGGAGATGATCATTTCCACAGAGAACAATTGAGTCCTCAGATCCTCTCTTAGGTTTTGTGGATCTAGAAGTCATATTTCATAGACAAAATGTTTAAAATGTAGTTGCATTTAAATATACTTTTTTTTTAAAGAAAAGAAAATGGAAAAAATGCACTATACCTGTTTTCTGGAATAAGGCTAAGTGTGTGCTGTAGGTTAGCCACAGAAGATAATGGCAGAGAAACGTTGGGTGTAGAAGCTGAGTTTGAATGGCAGCCAATGAGCTTTTCTGGAGCCAGCAGTGAACTAACCTTTGTTTCAGCTGCCAAGATAAGAGAATATCTGAATAACTGTTGAAAGTGGGATTGATTTAAAACTTTTTATATTTTACTTTGCATTTGCTTTTCTCTGTATACCTTTCTAAACAATCTTATTTTTTTGCAGATTGATGTATTTTAGTCTCATATTTTATTTTAATATTTGACTTCTGGAGATTAACCTTGGTCATATTAACAGAGAAAACCTGAGTAAAAATACACTCAAAAAACCAATAGTACTTATAGACTCATACTTAGAAACTGGTGTTTGAGCCATGTTGCCCGATCTTCTTCATACTTCTTCCTCTGCAAGTTAAACCAAAAACAAGTCATTTTAAAAGCCTTCTCAACAGCTACCTTTAAATCAGTAATTTTGAAAAATGTTTTTATTCACCTCATGGCTCAGTCTAATGGCTGCTTCAGTGAAGTTATTCCTCTCCCTTTCAAAGCTCTTTCTCTGTTTCTCAAGGATCATCCACTCATCTCTGAGGCGCTTTTTCTCATGTAGCATGTAGCCATCGTTCATCAGCGTTGCAACACCATCATCACAATGAGAGTTCATTTGCTGCTGTAAAAAGAAAGAACAGGTATGGTTTCAGTCTGCAACAATTATAGAGCTATTTTGTATTTAAAGTATTTTACAAACATTAGAAGGAGTAAGCATCCCCATCCCTGGTTTTAATTAATAAAAGATTAAACATTTAAAAGGTACTCACTGGCTCTTAATCTGTTTGCTTCTTGAATTCCTCAGTGCTTTACCTAATAATTAATAGTTGCTTCTTCATTATATGCAATTCTAGAAAACACAAGCGTTTATCAAACACACCTTGGGGTGTAAAAACAGAGCTTAATTTAATTTCTGTCGCAGACTTTAATAATCCATCAAATGTGTCTAATAAATTTTGCATGTGTTATATTAATTTTGACAGCATTTGGCAGCACGACAGCTAAGTGTTTAACACTGTCGCCTCACAGCAAGAAAGTCCTTGATTCAATCCCCAGATGGGACCTGTGGTCTTTCTGTGTGGACTTTGCATGCTCTCCTCATGTTTGTGATGGTTTTCTCCCACTCTCCAAAAACATGCATGTTAGGCTGCCTTCAGGCCCAGGCCTCCCTTGCAAAAGAAATCTGTGATCTCAATAGGATTTGTCTGGTTAAATAAAGGTAGGTAATAAATAAATTCAACCTTTATTTAGTTAGTTTCAATGAGTCACAAAGACTCATTTTCAAGAGAGACCTGTTTTAGACAAACTACAGATAAGGTACAGACAAACTGTGAGGATCAGTCTGTTTCTGTGTTTCTGTTTCTGTTTCTGTGGATTATTTTCCTTAGTGTGTGGCCCTCTCATGTGGTCTGTCCCTGCTATTGCGCTCCCTCTTGTAATCAATGTTCTAGAATTGCGCATCTCAAGGTGTCTGCATGTTGGAGCAGCTCTGTTACTTTCATTCTGAGATTTTGCTTTTGGAAACTTTAATTCCTCTTTTTCTGGATGTAAATCACAATTTTTGGATGACTGTTTCCTCTGGTATCAGATGCTGTGCAGCTGGAAGGATTTTTACTGAAACTTTGTTTTGGACATTTGTTATGATGCATAACCATGGCAACAAGGCAGTTTTCTACAACCAACAACAGCAGCTGATTAACATCTCAAAAGCTCAAATAATATCTCAACTACAGCCCCAAATCTCAAATGAGTTGAAAGGATGTTCTGTGGACGCATTCTCATCTACCTGCCAGCTGTGCTCAAGTGCCTGGCCACTGAGATCCTGGAACTAGCAGGAAACACGGCTCATGACAGTGGAAGGACAGGATCGTCCATCGGCACCTACAGTTGGCTGCCTGCAGTGACGAGGAGCTCGGCAGACTGCTGGGAGGAGTGGCAATCGCTCTGGGAGGAGTTCTGCCTGGAATTCGGGCGGTCCTACAGCCCGGGGGAACGAGAGACCAGCCGAGTCTGGGTGGATGGATCAGACAGCATCTGCAGCCAGTTTCTTAGGATCCACTGTGGGATGGACCATTACAAGAGATCCTTCCTGCCTACAGCCATCAGTATCTATAACATCTCTTAATGAAATGAGGATCACGATTTACAACAACAAATAACTTCCCTTTGGGATTAATAAAGTATTTTTGAATTTGAATTTAATCAGTTTCTCCTGGCCACCTGTTTGCCCTTCCCAGGTGTTCTGTGTTTACCCCTCATTAGTGTGTATATACAAGTCTGCAGTCTTCTTTGTCTGGGCATTGTCCTGTATGGCATTGTGTTCTGTCCTCCCTCTGTGTCTCCTAGGAAATGTAAGTTTTGTTGCCATGTCAGTCTTTTGCTTGTATTTTGTTTATATTAATAAAATACATTTTACTTTAAACCAGAGTCCTGCCTGCACGTGTTCAACCAAACAGCAGAAATGCAACATAAACAACCATAAAATCCATATAAAATAAAAAGTAAATAAAAGTACTGTTATAAAACAAAATAAAATCAAGCTACATTATGAAACAAGGTAAAATACTACAAAACAGGAACATGTCCGCATTGATTTTTCCATTGAACTTAATTGTTGAAAATCCCTTAGCAAAGTCGACCATTATTTATTTATTTATTTTTATTATTTATTTATTTTTTTTGCAAGATGTTACAGGAGCACGGTAAGAGAAGGCCTTCTTGATGAGTTCAGTACGCACTGAGCTGCAGGTAATGATGGCTTGAGAGCACAAGCTATAAATAACCTCTGTACAATGCAATTCTCATGAACCCCTGGTGGACCGCTTTGTGGCATGGTGTGGAAACAATCATCTCATCTTGAACGTGAATAAAACAAAGGAGATGATTGTAGATTTCAGGATAAATAGGAACAGGTCCAACCCTATTTCCATTATGGGAGAAGAAGTGGAGGTGGTGGAGAAGTATAAATACCTTGGAGTTCACCTGGACAACAGACTGGACTGGAAATGCAACAGTGAAGCTGTCTTCAAGAAGGGACAGAGCAGACTGTACTTCTTGAGGAAGCTGAAGTCCTTCAACATTTGCAGCAAGATGCTGCATATCTTCTATAAGTCTGTTGTAGAGAGCACCATCTCTTCTGCCATCATCTGCTGGGGTAGCAGCACCAGAGCATGTGACTTAAACAAGCTTATAAAAAAGGCTGGCTCAGTTCTGGGGACTCCTCTAGAACCTTTGGAGATGACTGTACAAAGAAGGATTCTTCATAAAATGAAGAACATTATAGACAACCCTCAGCACCCTCTTCATCAGACTGTCATACAACAACAAAGTGTCTTCAGTCAGAGGCTTCTTCAAATCCGTTGTAGGACAGACCACTACAAGAGATCCTTCCTGCCCACAGCCATAAGCATCTATAACAACTCATTATTGAAACCAGGATGATGAGTTACAACAACATTTAATTTCCCTCTGGGATTAATAAAGTATTTTTGAATTGAATTGAATCTGAAGGAGCATGATTGAGAGTAACCAAATGTCTGATCTGAACCCGAGCAGTGGTTTGTTGTTGGACTTCTGTGTTAGTTAGTTTGTCAATCACAAACACCATGTTCAAATTTAAAGGTGTTCATAAGTGATCATAGCACCAGGACACCCCAGGCCGCAAATTGATGACAGACTTTGTAGTTGTTATCTGATCTGCAGCCATATGTTTAGGAGACATGGATGAAGACAGAGAGAAGCTAAGATGTCAGCTGATCACCATCTGGCGGTGAGTTGGATGGCAAGGAAAGATGGACAGACCCAAATGTGTAGTGAGGGTTTGCTGGGAGTGCCTGTCAGAAGGATCTTCAACTCACACCTCCAAGAGAACTTCAACTGGAAGTGAAGGTGGGGGATATTGAGTTCAAGCGGGCCGTGTTCCACGCCTCCACTGTTGAGGCGTCTGCCTTGACTGCAAGGTTTTTGGCACTTTTCGTGACTGCCATCCTTATACCCATAGGTGGATGTCCCAGGTGAGGGAGAATGTCAAGCTGAAGAAGGGCCTTATTGACTAGTAGGACTCCAGAGGCAGCTGATGGGTATTGGTGAGCCAAGCAGGCTGCAATAGAGTCTGTCTGATGGTCCAACCTCCAAATCAAGAGGAACAATGCAGGTTTTGTCCCATTTGTGAAGCATTGGACCAACTCTTTACCCTCATAAGGGTCTTGAGGGCATGAGAGTTTACCCAAGCAGTCTAGGTGTGTTTTATGGACTTGAAGGCATTCAACAATGTGGTCCTGTTGACATCATCATGTTGTGATCTTCAGCTCTCACTGGAATGGTTCACAGCAAAATGTGAAGCAGCTGGGATGAGAATCAGCACCTTCAAATCTAAGAGTCATGGTCCTCAGTTGGAAAAGGGTGGATTGTCCATTCGGTACTGGGAGTAAGGCACTACCTCAAGTGGAGGAATTCAAGTATTTCAGGGTTTTATTCATGAGTAAGAGAAGAATGGAGTGCAGGATAGACAGATGGATTGATACAGCTTCTGAACTATTGCAGTCTCTTTGCTGGTCCATTGTGGTGAAAGGAGGGTTGAACTGCAAGGTGAAGCTCTTGTTTACCAGCCAGTCTATGTTCCTATCCTCACATATGGTCACAAACTTTGGGTAGTGACCAAAAGAAGATTGTGATGCAAACAAATTTCAGCGGCTTTACTCTGAGTCTATCTGCTGACCCTCCACATTGAAAGAAGCCAATTTAGGTGGTTCAAGCATCTAATAAGAATGCCCCCTTGATGCCTCCTTAGGTTTTCCAGGCATGTCCAACTGAGCGGAGATCCTGGGGAAGACCCAGGATATATTGGAGAGAGTGTGTCTCTTGGATGGCCTTGGAACACTTTGAAATCCTTCCAGACGAGCTGGAAGAGGTCATTGTGAAGAGATATCTGGGCCTTCCTTCTCCAGCTGCTGTGACCAAACTCCATAAAAAGCAGCAGATGCTGGATGGATAAATGAACATTTAACTTAATGTGTAAATGCTTAAGCATTCACACTATTGTGATCCATTTTTCTTCTGTACGTTTTTCGGCATCTTTCTTGTTCCACAATTTTGGTGCCATTTCAACAAATCATACCAAAATGTTGAGCTTTTTCAGGAGAAGGGTGATATGACTTTTGGTATTGATGCAACTTTAGCTTTTTGAAATATTTAGCCTTTTCTGCCACTTTTTTCTCATAGGAAATTAATTGAGCTCATTTTACATCCTACAAATATTTAGATCTGTTTACAACCTTTTACTGCTCCTTTCACATTTTGTTACACTTCAGCTTCTTTCAGCTTCCTTGTGCTAATTTAAACTTTTTTCAGCTAATTTCAGCTTTTTTCAACTGTTATGTTTTATATTATTTCTGCTCACTACAACAATTTTCAATTTTGGCTTCTTCTAACTTCTTTCTGCTAATTTCAACTTGTTATACTCATGTAAGCTTATTTCTGCAAGTTTCAGCTTTTTCTGCTATTTAAGCTACTATTTAGTTGTTTTTATGTTAATTTGAGCCTTTTCAGCTAATTCCACTTGTTTTGCACTCGTTTCAACTTTATTCAGGCTAAGTCAGCAAAGATGTGTTTTCGCCACTTCCTTCTGATAATTTAAGCTTCTTTCTGCTATTTTAGCTACTTTTCAGCAGTTTTTTGTTGCTAATTTTAGCTTTTTTCAAATAATTTCCACTTTTTGTGCTCATTTCTGCTTCTTTAAGCCTAACTGGGCAAACATGTTCTTTCTGCTTTCTTCTTTTATTTTAAGCTTGTTCTACATTTTCAGCTGGCTTTTTAGTAATTTTTTAGCTAATTTCAGCTGTTTTCAGATAAATTTTAGTTTTTTGTGGTAATTTCTGCTGTTTTCAGCCTAATTAACTTCTATCTAATAATTTCAATTTGTTATGCTCCTTTCAGCTGTTTCTACAAGTTTTAGCTTTTTCTATTATTTCAGCTACTATTCAGCTGTTTTATGCTAATTTTAACTTTTTCGGCTAATTCCACATTCTTTAAGGTCATTTCAGCTCTTTTGCTTCCTTCTGGTAGTTTATGCTTCTTTTTGCCTTTTCAGCTACTTTTCAGCTTTTTCCGGCTAATTTCAGCATTCTTTTTAGCCAATTTGCTCATTTCTGCTTATTTAAATATGGTTCTGCAAATAAAGTTATTTCTGTTTTCTTCTTCTAAGTTAGGCTTGTTCTTCCATTTCAACTATATTTCAGTAGGTATTTAGCTAATTTCAGCTGTTTTTCAGCAAGTCCTTCTACAATAAGCATTCACACTGCATTTTCGCAAGAAATGCAATTTCTCTAGTTTTAAATATAAATTCAGTCTTACCTGCAGGAGCTGCTGTTGTGTTTGAATAAAGTCTTTGCACTGTTGGATCTCCAGCTTTAGACTTTCCATCTCCTGCTCGTGAGTCTCTCGAGCTACAGCATCACTATTTGTACTTTCACCCATCTGAGTCAAAGACGCTGAACAAACCATATAGAAAATCTGACATTTAAGATCTATATTGTAAATATCAAAGAGAAAATGTAAAATTAAAAAATAAAGAAGAAGACAGGAAAGATAATACACATAATGTAAACATTTTATTTGGTTAAACAATGTATTACCGGATCATAGTTACTTCCATATAAAATCTAATATTTCTTTACTTCTGTCTCAGTAAAAATTTACATTTTAGTTGACTAGAGATGTGCTCCATTTCGTAATTTTATAAAAATGTAGTGACAGGATGACAGACATATGAAAGTTACCTTGGCTGTCTAGTCTTTCAACGTGGCTTTTGAGTTTTTTCCACTGAAGGCGAATACTGCTGGTGAGTTTCTCCCGAGCCTGAACACAATTCATCTCTACACTGTCCTTGCTGGGATCAAATATTTCCTCCTCTTCTTCCTCTGAAGCAGCCTGAAATTATGGTAATTATTTTCAATTTATTTTCAAACATCTACAAGAGTTTGTTACAAAAACAACTTTTGGCATGTTTTTGTCTCAATGTTAAAAATATAAGAAAAAAAGGAGAAATCAATGCAATATCTAAAGTCATTAATTTAGGATAAAAATATATAAAAAATTAAGTGAAATAAGCAAAACAACCTGCCCCACCTGTGTGTCTACAGGACCAGGTTTTTCTCCTTTCAAAGACAATTTTCTCGATCCAAGTATGGCCGCAATTTCTTTCGTCATCTGATGCAACACCTTCTTTAGTTCTGCGTTTTCCAACACCAGCTCCCTTTGTCTGGACTCATAGTTACTCAGAAGAGTTTTGTACAACTCCCCCTCGTGTCTTCAGAAGAGAAACAGAAAACGTGTCATTTTTATGTAGCTAGAATCCATTACAGGCTCAGATCTTTCAGCAGTAATTTGGCTCATACAAATAATGATTTATGTTTTAAAAAGATTCATTCAACCTTTTTTTAGACAGGTAAATCCCATTGAGCCTCACGGACTCATTTACAAGAGAGACCTGATTTCAACAAAGAATGATGACAACAATGGACTACAACAACAACAATAGACATAAAAAGGCATACAGATTTTTTTTTGTTTTTACAAATACGATGGCTAAAAAAAGAAAAGTAACAAAAAACAGCTAGATTCTAAGGCGAAAGTAGAAAACTAAAAACAGGAACATGGACTCCTGGCAGGGACCAATGCAGACAACAGATTCTTAAAGCCACTTAGAGGTCAAGGTCGAGAGCTTCAATTTTTTTTGTAAGATATTACAAGAAACAGTAGCGGAGTAGGAGAAGACCCTTTTGCCTACTTCAGTCCTCACTAAGGGAACACTGCAAGTAATAATGTCCTGAGAGCGCACGCCGTAGCTGCACTCACGCAGAGACATGTAGGAAGAGATGTATGAAGGCAGCAGACCAAGAAGTGATTTAAAGATGAAAATGTACCAGTGAGAGAGTCTGCGTGAATTTAATGATGTCCAGTTAACCAGTGAATACAGGGTGCAGTGGTGTGTACGATAATCACAGCCAGTTATGAATCTTAGTGCACCATGATAGACAGCATCCAACATCTGCAGGGTGCTTGTAGGAGCGTTCATGTAAATAATGTCACCGTAATCAATGGAGGGAAGGAAGGTCACAGATACAAGGAGTTTCCTAGCATTCAGAGTTAGACAGGATCCGTTTCTGAAAAAGAAACCCAGTTTAACTTTCAGTTTCTTTACCAAGTTTCCCACATGGAGCTTAAAAGAGAGATGTGAGTCGACCAAGATACCCAAATATTTATAGGAATCAACAAACGCAATCGGGACACCATTTGAGGATGAAATCAGAGGAGGAACTGCTGGGACCGAGTTCCTATTTGAAAAAGCATCCCTTTGGTTTTGCCGGCATTTAGGACAAGTTTGAGGTGGAACAAATCTGTCTGATGTCAAATGCAGATTTCAAAAGCTGGAAAGCCTTAGCAACTATTTTAGCTCGACGATACATTTTTATTACTGATAAAACAGAAAGACAAGTTGATTTCAAAGTAAAGTAACTGAAACACTAAATGAGCACTAGTTTATTTTTGTGTATTCCTGCAAATTTTCCATTTAAGCATTATGCTTTCAAATTTATCCTTACAACCAAAATTCATTCAACCACGCTACGATAAAATAAAAACCAATGTGAGCAGAACTTACTTTGCCTTCGTGTTTTCAGTTTTCCAAAGGCTCCTTTTGCCATCAGCTCTCCCCATGTTATTTAAAACATCAATAGCTGGAATGCATGAAAACACAACACAGAAATAAGTATGTTTATTACATTTTAACTATACATATATACTTGCATATCAAGGATTTATTTTTATTTTTTTTTAAAGAAAAATTAAAAAGAGCAAAAGTGGTCCCTATGCCTGATACATTTGTGGGCTGCAGCCTTTAAGCAAAACAGAATAGACTCCAATTAATGATGGCAGTTATCTATAAGGTCAGCCTCTGTGTTGTGTTTAGAATTATCACTGCACCCTCATTCTGTATCAGCTTTCTTAGTAGACATAAATAAGACATTTATGTATGTTAGTTTTCCATTACAGCTCTTTTTTATTTTAAACTGTTGTGTTTTCACAGATACTGTGAGCCTTCATTGACAGACACAACCTGTGTTTTTCTGAACTACAACTATGATCTGGAAACCCAGCCAAGCTGGATTTCCAAGTATGACTATGCCAAAAATGTCCAAGCAGAGTTCATTTTCTACAGAGTTTTTACAAAATTAGTTGAGACAAAAAAAACTGAGATTGGTTTTAAATTGTACCTGTGATGTTCTGCTGTTTTACCCCTTCATTAATTCTCCCATCAAGATTTATACCACTCATGATTTGCACAGTGTCAACTTTGTATGCCTTTCATTTTCATTTTCATTTCATTTATTTTATTCATTTCAAATTAAAACACAGGAAAAAAAACAATTTACAATCCATATGGATAAAAAAAAAACAGAAAAGAAAATTTAAAATGAAAGGAAGCAGAAGAAGAAAAAATCTTATAATAACTGCCCCTTCTTAGACAAAAAAATCAATACAAACAATCAATTAAAGCAATAGTCATTCATGAAAATAATTTTTCAACAACTAAACAATCAATGCAATTCATGCATTAGTCAACCATGAAACAAATAATCAACTTATAGTAATATAATGATTTTAAAAACATTTTATATTAACCAAATTACATATATCTTTGCAACATTATACTCTTAATTTTTTTCTTGAATACAGACATTGACTGAGCTGTTTTAACATCAGTTTCCAAACTATTCCATAGTCCTATTCCATGTATCAACGTTGACCGACCCTTTAAACTAGTTCTATATTTAGGTTTAACAAAAATATCAGTGCCCTTTAGATTATAATAACTTTTTCTTTTTACAAATGAATTATTAATGAAATTATAATTAGTACTGCAGATTAGTTTCATTTTACCTTGTTTTCTCTCCTTCTTATCAGCCAGGAGTTGAGTTAGTCGCTCCTTTAGTTTGTTAAACTCTCTTTCCTTTCTTTTCATATCGTGGTTGTACTGACTAGCACGGCTTGAAATTATGTTCTGAAGTTTTTGCACCTGTTGAAACAAACAAAAAACAAATGCGACTTGGAACTTCCTGAAGAAAATATGAGGCAAAGCAAAAGGACCTGGCAAATAATTCAGCCAATAGTGTTATTTATTCAGCCTGACAGAGGTAAGATGTAAAAATAAATATGTAAAGTGGGGTAACTTTCCTCTATTCAATCAAATGTTCACACATATTTGCAAACAAAATTAGATTTTAGCATATTGTTCAGTAATTGGGGCAGCACGGTGGCGCAACTGATAGAGCTGCTGCCTCTCAGCGAGTAGGTCCTTGGTTCAAACCCCGGTCCAGGGGCCTCCTGGGTGGAGTTTGCATGTTCTCTCCGTGCATGCGTGGGTTTTCTCCGGGTGCTCCGGTTTCCTCCCACAGACCAAAAACATGCATGTTAGGCTGATTGGTAAGATTGGTAACTCTAAATTGTCCCTAGGTGTGAGTGAAAGTGTGAATGTTTTTTTGTCTCGTTTGTCTCTATGTGGCCCTGTGATGGACTTGCGACCCGTCCAGGGTGTACCCCGCCCCTCGCACAGTGATTGCTGGACATGGGCACCAGTGACCCCCGACCGTGACCCAAAATGGAATAAGCGGGTAAAGATAGTAGATGGATGGATGGTTCAGTAATTGTATAGAGTAGTAGTTTGTGACTGAGCAAATTATTTTGTCGAATTGCTGATCCAAAGAGTAAAAATGTGTCCAAGTTTTAAATTTTAATAAGCCACAGAATGCTTGTTTGCCAACAGAATGATGCTGTAAGCAAATCCTTGTGGTTTTCTGGATTGAAGACCAGATTTTTCCACCTTCATTTTTATTTTGACACCTGGCACTGCTGGGCTGCGTAAATCATACCTCCTCTTTTTCATTTTTCAGACAGTTCTGCAAACTTTTGGCTTTTAACTGGAGCTGCCGTTCTCTCTCGTGGAGTCCTGTGTTCTCTCTTTTAGAAAGTTCAAGCTGCTCCTGTAAACACAATGAAATTCAGACGAACCCAATATAATGATTTTAGAACTTTTTTTTTTTAACAGAAAGACGTGTGTTTTTTTTTTAAAAAAGATTGATATAATTTCTACACTGTTCAATAGAACTTCAGCAATGTTATAGATTTCACTTGTTTGATTCTAGATTAATATTAAAACAATAGAATCTTTAGTTATTATACTTTTAGATGACTGTTTGAGAGCTTCAAGTAATCCACGTTGCTGCTCAGCTTAAGCTGCTCCACTTCCATGTTTTCTAACGTTCTGAGGCTCCTGTGGTGCAGCTGAATAAGGTCATACATGCAATTCAACGCAGACACATTATTCAGCTCTGAGCTGCTGTCCAGCTCTGACCAAAATGGTGGGAGGCCCAAAGATGACAACTCCTGCAAAGGAAGAAAAATGAAAGTTTTAGACAAAAAAAAAATATATATATTTATTGATTTATATATTTATATTTATATAATATTTTATTATATATAAAATTTTTTTTTTCGGGGATTGTTACATTTTGTATCAGTGTCTGTTGACACACCGTCTTTAGGTATAAACATTGTTGATGTTCAGGGATTGGTGTCATGTGCAGTGTACCTTTTATTCAGACACAAACCACTAGGCACACTTGTTTTACAACAAAAGTGCTATAAAGACAACAGAAACTCCTGAAAGGCCACTAACCTGATTGATGTGTGACAGACATTCTTGCACGTTATGCTCTGTGCAAAACGTTCTAGGTGTGTGGGGACTTCTGTGGAGCAGCAGCGATGGCTGGCTGAGCTGCCTCAAGGGGGGTGTTCTACATTCAACAGAGCTGCAGCAAATGTCCTTGACTTGTGAGGAAAGAAGTCAGTCAAATACATACTCTGCATCGTCTTCTGTTGGAAGTTTGATTCATATTTTACACAGCAACTAAGAACAACGTTCATCTGTATCCGTTTATGATACAGAGCACAAATGAAGGATAAAATATGTGAGAAATCAACTGGACAAAATTGTACTTTAATAAGTTATAACATATGAGATTTATCAATATAAGCACAAAACAAAACTAGAAAAATGCTCCAGTGGAGAATAGCAACTTGTCTTGCACAAAGCACATTAATGGTAATTTTTTTCACTAATCTTTAAAGCAATTGGGATTTAAACTCACCCAGCGGCATCTCTGGCATTGTTGCAGCACAGTCCTCTGGTAAAGTGTTTGGAAAATCTATGACATGTGCAGATTAAAGTGTTGACCACAAGATCCACCTACTCAACCCTGAAATAGACAATCAGATTAACAGGGACCATTCAACACTTTGTAGATTACAAGGTTCTTGGAGTACACATGAAGTGGTGAAGCTGAAAAATAAAAGGAGAGGTGGGTTTTCATTCCACATTAAATGTGTATCAATATAGAAGACTTCTTTCTAATCTTGTGCTGATGTTATGTGGTCAAATAATTGCCGCATGTAGCCAGGTAAAGGTTGGCACCAGGCTGCCATTTTGTGTCAAGGCACGAATTGGTAAAAAATAAGGAAGAAAACAAAAATCTGTTTTTAAAAATTGTAAAACAATATCATTAGCAACCTGCATCCTAGGGCAACAATTACAGTAGATTAACCACGACATGCAATAAAATATATGCATCTAGAAGAGCAATTGTGTTTGTTTGTGGGTTGTTTTTTCACCTGTTGATTCTGTGGAGACGACGAAATGCCTTTCAGGGGACCTAGATTTTATACTTAATCTGATTAGACAGATGGGAAACCTAGAGGCTCCCTAGAGCCAAAAAGCTTAAAAAGCCTGAGACTGACTACAAGTGTTGCCTACAATTCAATAACTCACAGTTTACAAATTAAATCCTAAAACTAAATGATTAAATGGATTTTTAATTGGTACATGTGTGCAACATCTACAGTGTGTATTATTGTTTTATGCCTCATTAATAAATTTAATGTCATAACTGACCTTGAACACGTTAGGTTAATCAAATATCAAAATGTTTATATAAAGAACTTTTATGTTTTCATTCCCAGTATGGTGCTGCAGATAAAGTAACTTTGAACTCTCTCATTAAGTCAGAACTGGGCAGAAACATTATAAAACATTATTAACTGAGACTAAAAATAAAAGCTGCATGTTCTGAAAGCTTCCTCGTTGAGTTGCCTTCGTGTTCATTTATCTGAGCTGTTCGATATTGTTAAGCATCGATGAAACGTTGTTACTTTACGAGAACTGATGTCGAAGAAGAAAAACGACGCAGGTGTGCGTTCACTTCGTAATTAACTGACTTTTACACCTGAATGGACGTCTGTTCCGGACAAGTTGAACCGTTTAAACAAGAGAAGTGATTATTTATTAAATTAAATGTAACAAAATGTTTCAAATACTTACTTCACGCAACAGTTCATGATGTATTTCTTAAGCGTTGTCTTCCAGCTCCCTAAGTCATGTCCACCTGCTGCAGTGAGCTCAACGCAGCAAACAAACCAAGCTCTGCGCTGATTGGTCCATCCGTTGTCTAGCAACCAAACATGGCTCAATTTGATTGGTTGTTGGTTTTGCGGCGTTCAAATGTTCCTAATGGTATTTAATTTTCTTTTGATTGTTTAAAATATATAAGGTTTAAAACACTCTCATTATAAATGGATAAGATTAAATGAAACAACTGTTAAAATGGCATTTTTTCCATCATAAATATTAATTTGTTTTGGAAAACACTTAACACATAATAAATGAAAAAACAACACAACAGCCAAAATGCAGGCCTTGTTATGTGAAAAGTCAAAAGGAAGCATGTTTTTTAAGAGGGGGGGGGGGGGGAATCAATGACAGCTGCTGTAATCTTTGATCAATCACACAGTACATGTGGTAAAAAAAAAAGAAATACATTGATTTATTTATAAATGACTCAGCATGCTAAAATACCCCTAAATATTATTGTCTACATTGTCTATGAACACCATTTTCTTTTTCTACAAATGTAGGTCAAACATCCATCCATCCATTATCTTTTACCCGCTTCTTCCATTTTGGGTCATGGAGGTCGCCAGTGCCCATGTCCAGCTATCACTGTGCGAGGGGCAGGGTACACCCTGGATGGGTCTCCAGTCCATCACAGGGCCACATAGAGACAAATGAGACAAACAACCATTCACTCACTCACTCACTCACACCTAGGGACAATTTAGAGTTACCAATCAGCCTAACATGCATGTTTTTGGTTTGTGGGAGGAAACTGGAGTACTCGTACCCGTACCCGGAGAAAACCCACGCATGCATGGAAAGAACATACAAACTCAGCACAGAAAGGCCCCCGGACCAGGATTTGAAGGTCAAACATC